TTGAGACTGATGTGAAAGCCACTCTGATATAGAGAAAGCATCATACTTACATTTTGGTTGGTTGGTGGCTTCACATTTGTATGGGTAGTGATGAACACAGAACCACTACAGTATCTGATCTCAAATCTCTCTTTCTAATTAGATTTTGGAAATAATCAGGGTCATTCTAAAACTGTACGAACAGTGGAAGAACTTTGATGAGAGGAAAGAAATGGCTACTATTCTTAGTAAGATGCCTAAACCGAAACCACCTCCAAACAGGTACTATAATGTTTTTAATTTTCTTTTTTCATACCACTTCATATATTGTACAAATGTCTTAAACTAGACACTTCCTCTTAAAACACAAGTGAATATTTCATTCGGGCATAGTAAATATATTTACAGTGCAGATCTTTCCATGATAGACTCACTCCTATTTATTAGTTTGGGAGCCACGAAGAAGAGTTGCTTCTGGTTGATAAGAGAGTAGTTTTAAACATTAAAAAAATGTTAGATGTTCTCATTAAATTTATTTAAAAATGGTGAATTTTTAATTTAAAAAAAATGTGCTCGTGTAGGTACTGTGATTAGGTGTTGTATAAATTGACAATCTGCACATGCAAATCAAAACTAAGGTGCAAATATGTGAGCTTAATTATGGTAACTGCAGAGGTAAATTGGTTGCGCAATTGGACACAGTGTTTTTGCATGTGCAGTTTTGAAAATCAGGTCCTTCAAGTGCTGGTTGTTTTGCATGCTTTCTAGTGGAATTAATTTATGTAGACCTAGTTATCAAAACAGTGAGTTTTTAATTGCATAGAGTTGGGAGAGGCAAAAAAAAATGCTCTGAATTTTGTGTCTAAAGATTCTTCATTTCAAGAGGCTTTTAGTGCTTCATCTTCTAGTGCACAATAGTTCTTCCTTTCTTAAAAGCTAGCAATGTAATTAATATACATTTTGTATCTGAAATATGTATTTCTCCCTCCAAACAGTGAAGGAGAACAGGGTCCAAATGGAAGTCAGAATTCCAGCTATAACCAGTCTTAAGACATTCCAAAGAACTTTATTATGGACCACTTTGGATCAAGACATATTGGGAACTTAATTGTGTTCATGAAATGGACAGAAGGTTTTAATAATGTCTTTGACAAAGAACTTGAAGAATAAATGGCTTGTTTCTATCAAGCATGTTGAAAGCTTTTTCTTTAAAACTGCATGAACCCCTGTAACACTGGAACAACCGTATTAGCAAGATTTCTCAATGTAAGGCATTCAAAAGTTTTGAACAGAGCTTCAAAAGATTCACACATCCACTTCAGTATTAACAGCTGAATACTGTTTTGTTTGTTTGCTTTCAGAAAAATGTAGATTGTCATTAAAGTGAAGATTATTTTTTAAACTACAGTATCGAAGCTTGTTGATTGTAACCATATTAATAACCCTGTGTCTTTTATCATTTTGTTTGTTACTGAAGGAGGACAGTGTATAAATCTTGTCATTTACCTAGTTTGTTTTATAGCTAAGGAATATTATAAAAAAAACAACAACTAATCTTTCAGCAACAAAGGCTGCAAAAACCTGTAAAAAATGTTGAGTTTCAATGAAAACAGTGCAGGAAAGAAATTAAGTTCCTCTTCTGGACTGAAGTGATGCTGTTTTACTCAGTACATGTAGCTTGGATATTTTTCCACAAAACCTAGTAGCCCAGCTTACCAGAAAAGTGCAATATGTATAGTGGACATTTGAAAAGAACCTCAATTTTCTTCACCCTTTCACATATTAGGAATTTTTAAAAGTTTATAAATTATTTGCAAGTACTATACTGTGCAATCCTCAAATGTTTTAGAAGCACATAGCAATATTATCCAGATATGATTATCTTTTTTATTGTGGATTTTTTGGTACAAAAAGTTATATACTGTTAGTCTGCCTTCATGTTATGAATTTGATATTTTGTAGAAGTTTACTGAAAGGAACAAGCTTCATCTTGGCTGTTTTAAAATGTGTCTACGAGTAGCTCTTAAGAATTACTGCAATGGGATTCTTTTGTTACCTACTTCCTGGACAAAACAAGTTTCCTTTAACCCACCAGTTGTAGCCTACATTCCTGAGTCATGCAGAACCTCCCACACAAGTCAGGATTTGGCCCTGAAGATTTTAATGTTTTGTCCCCCTTGCCTAACAACTTGTGTACTATTTAATTCTCAACTGAAAATGCTGATTTGCTCACAAATAAAAGCTGAATGATAAAAACTGAAGTCCAATAGCTTTTGTCCAATCTAATTTTTTTCCAAAGCATAGTAACACATTACACAGGTCTAAAATATAGACAATAAGTGCTTGAAAAACCTAGCCAGATGGACCTTGTTAATTCTAAAACTTGACCATTTAAAAACCACCTTACTTTTTTGTAGTCTTCTACTGGACTCTCATTCAATGAAGTGCAACCAAAACGTGGTTTTGTATGCAATCAATGAGGCTACTTACACTTATAAAACATTTAATGCAAATTAAAACCTGCTTTATAGTAAGAAAACAGGCATTTTAGCCTTATATTAAATTAGTTTTGTTGGTAAAGACAGTTGGTCCTCCTACTCCTGGAAATTGGCTTGTTGGTTTTATCCCTTGAAACTTAAACAGTGTATTGTTTGTAATGTGGATATGATGAGTAGGATTAAATCAATGTAAAGGACAATGATTGTGCGTAGTTCTTAACACTGATTATTCCTGAACTAAAGCTTGATTGAAGTAGTATTCCTCAGTAGTAGCTGTACTAGCAAAATAAGTATTTTACACAATCTACAGTTTTAATACAATGTTTTAGACTAGAAAGTTAACCATTTGTTTTCAAAACTTCTTGCTTCTGCATGTAAATATGTTTTCATGATTGTAGTGGTGAAAGTATTTTTTCCATGTAGTTCTAAAGAGTTCACTGATTGCATTAGACAAGTATCACTTCTCTGGTCCTCAGAGCTAAAATGCCATTACACTGGTGCAGCAGATACAAGAAAATGGTGACTAGAGAATCCCCACCGGAAGGCGAGATTGGGGGGCAGGAGGAGAAACAGTTTAACAGGTTATAGACCTAAAATAGTTCTGACTTAAGATACTGTAGACTGACCTCTAAAAAGAACTGTGTCTACACACACACACTGGTTTCTGGTACCCTTTAGTAGGATGTCTACACCTTTTAATTAGATTTTTTTAAAGTACTTGTCCCTCCTCATTTGTACAACATTTAAGATACACATAAAAACACCCCAATTGTCCCTCTAAGGTAAATCTATGTTAACACCCTTAATAAAAACCTGCAAGAGAGAGAACTTTTAAGTGTGTCCTTTTCACCAACAAATCAAGGTTCTGTCAAAACAACTTGGGTGGAGAGGTGGAAGAGTTCGATTGTTGGAAAGTGCCCTTCCAAAGCACCCTCTTGCTTTAAAAGGAGGGGATGGCTAGCTTAGTGCTTCTGTGAGTCCCACCTTTGGGGGTTGCACATAAAGAGGTGGTCTATCAGATAGTCAAGTAGTATGCCAAAGAAGGCTAAGGGTATGTCTTCACTACCCCTCAGATTGGCAGGTAGTGATCGATCCAGCGGAGAATCGATTTCTCGTCTAGTCTAGGCGTGCTAAATCGACCCCCCGAGTGCTCTCCCGTCAACTCCTGTACTTCAGCGCTGCAAGACGCGCAAGCAGCGTCAATGGGGGAGCGGCAGCAGTCAACTCACCGCAGTGAAGAAATCACGGTGAGTTGATTTAAGTACATCGACTTCAGCTACGTTATTCACATAGCCCTGGTCTATGCAACTTCAGCTAAGTCAAAACTCCAACTCCACAGGTAAGCTATTTGTACAGATTAGAGGACATGTGTAGTTCACTTATCATATGAAGCACTGCTAAATCATGTTTCAATAACTTGCAAATGGACTTAAGCAGTGGTTCTCAACATTTCCCTATACAGTAACCCCTCTATTCCTATTTAGCAAGAATCTATCCTGGTAGTTCTCCCCTCCCTCATTTAGCAATATACAATAAATAGGTGTATACCCCACACTGAACCCACGGTTCAATAGTTGTTGCCCCATTAGAGAGCATTACAGTTGTCTAGTCAGGCACAAGTAACCAGTAAGACCCATATCTAAAAGAAAAATCCACATTTCTTCCCATATGCACATGGAAAGTTATGGGGCAAAGCTGCTCATTGAGTAGCTTGTGATCTAACCTGCAACAAATTGCAAATTTTAGCACAATAGAATTTCAGTTTTATAAGCTACAAGTTATACAAACCATTTTTCCTGATGGGGAAAGTGTTACATAATGAAAATGTCAGAGCAACAAGTAGACATCCCTTCATATTCTGATTCCTTCAGTGCATTGGAAGTCACTTTGCAGTAGTATGAAGGACAAGAAAATGATGCAGTGCATCATACTACAACTTGTGCACCATACCTATTATAACTTCATAATGTTCAATTTTATGAACTCAATGCCAAATTAGTTTATAAATAGGGATTCTACTATAATACAATAGCAAATGTACTTTATTTGAGCAGGGTTGCTAATAACTGTTGATTTATGTTTCTCGCTGTAGATCTACTCAGTGTCTAACTCTGTTGGGCTCTGAAGAATCCTAACCTAAATCAATCACATCTATTCTATCAAGTCATACGCCTAAATTCTTATTTCACATTAGGCTCATAAGGGAGGTATATGAATTGTCTGTAGTTTTCTGTCCAAAACTCTACATTTGCTTTTAAAGAAATGTTACTAAACTTCTGTAGTCAAGCATAGCTTCTGTAGCCAGACTCATTACATTTTGCAGTCAAATTTGAGAGTGTCACATTTTGTGTTTGCAGGATTTGTTCCTCCCTTCCTATTTGCCCTCCTGACAAGACAGACAGGTTAAGAACAGCTGCTATACTCAGAGTAAATTAGTACTTATCTGCAAAGTATCATTCCAACCCAATTAAAATAACTGTACCAAGAGGAATATATAACAAAATTACTTATATAAAAAGTCTGTTACGCCTCACCATAAGTTTAATCATGATCCCCTGTTGTATATATCATATTGGTACAGTATGTACAGTTCAGTTTTTACATTGAAGTCCATAGCTTTAAGTTTTCTTCATGGAGTAGTTCCACAGTAATTTTAACATATGACCAAAGGAGAATGAACAGTCTACTCGTGTAATCTTCAACTCTCAATCAATTTAAATTCAGAATAATCAGCTACATTTAACAGTGTGTATTAACTTTACATATATAAACAATCATTCCCCTTCACACTACATTCTCAATCTTATTTCATACAAGATATTACTAGGCTTGTGTAAATTTCAGGACATTATGTAACAAGGCATATTCCAAAATTCATCATCATTGTTTTTTCTCTGGTGGTTCATACTTTGCCCACTCCTCCAAGCCACCAGCATAGTGCTGAACTCTGAAAGTATACAGAAGATTGTCAGTGTTAGAGATACTACTGCTGGTAATCTTGTGAAAAAAGATTAAAGCCTAGTTGCTTTTATATTAAAAAAAAAAATTAGTTTCTCTAAGAGACACTGCATAATAGTGGCAGTGTTCACTATTGCAAAACAATGTAATTGCTCCTGGTTTCACAGAGCAAAATGCAAGTATTTTGCAGTAGTTTTTATGGCTTACTTTCACTTAGTGATCCTATTTCAATTAGAGAAAATGAACAACATGGATTAAATATCAAGCAAGTGGTGGCATATGTCAATGCACATTACATTCAGAGGGGAAAAAAAATGAAAGCACTGGCCATGTTTAAATAAAGTTTGAACAAGTAGTTGTGTTATAGGAGTAGATTCACTTTACTTTGGGAGATTTAAGTGGTATCAAGTTAGTACTTAATATTTCATCTGTCCAAACCTCACTTTCAGAGACCAGATTCATAGAAGGTTATCTAGTCCAACCCCCACTGCTCAAAGCAGAACCAATCCCCAGACAGATTTTTTCCCCAGAACCCTAAATGGCCCCCTCAAGGATTGAACTCACAACCCTGGGTTTAGCAGGCCAATGCTCAAACCACTGAGCTATACATTCTCTAAGGAGATGTTTATAAACATCTTGAATGCCTTGGTAATAGAGCGCTAACATTTCAAACCATTACAGAGAAGACCATTTTGGCATCATATTTGCACCAGTTTAAGAGAGTTGGAATTTTTGTTTTAAATCCACCACTTACGTTTTCCCTGCATACTTGTTTGATACGTTAGCTCAGGGGTCAGCAACCTTTCAGAAGTGCTGTGCTGAGTCTTCATTTATTCACTCTGATTTAAGGTTTTGGGTGCCAGTAATACATTTTAACGTTTTTAGAAGGTCTCTTTCTATAAGTCTATAATATATAACTAAACTATTGTTGTATGTAAAGTAAAGAAGGTTTTTAAAAAGGTGTTTAAAAAAAGGTTTAAGGTGATTAATAAGCTTCATTTAAAATTAAATTAAAATGCAGAGCCCCTGGACCGGTAGCCAGGACCCGGGCAGTGCGAGTGCCACTGAAAAAAAAAAATCAGCTCGCGTGCCGCCTTCGGCGCACGTGCCATAGGTTGCCTACCCCTGGGTTAGCTAATGAAAACCCTGTTATGTTTGCAATATGGATTTCAGATTGTTAAGGAGATTCCCTATATTAACATAGATGAGGGAGAGAAGGTTCAATATCTGACTGGTCTCCGACACCTTCCCAGAAGCTATACTATCGAGAACAGTGGTTCTCAAAGCTGGTCTGCCGCTTGTTCAGGGAAAGCTGCTGGCGGGCCAGGCCGGTTTGTTTACCTGCCGCGTCTGCAGATTCGGCCGATCGCGGCTCCCACTAGCCACGGTTCATTGCTCCAGGCCAATGGGGGCCGTGGGAAGAGTGGCCAGCACATCCCTTGGCCCACACTGCTTCGCCGCTCCAGGCCAATGGGGGCTGTGGGAACTGCAGCCACGGCACGTAAACAAACCGGCCCAGCCCACCAGGGGCTTTCCCTGAACAAGCGGTGGACTGGCTTTGAGATCCACTGATCTCCGAAGAAGTGGGCTGTAGTCCATGAAAGCTTATGCTCTAATAAATTTGTTAGTCTCTAAGGTGCCACAAGTACTCCTGTTCTTTTTACTGATCTAGAAGATACCATAAAGGGGCAGGTAGGTGGGTAGTGGAGCATTTAGGGCCAGAATGACAGTTTAAAAAGAACTGTGTGCTGACATTAACTAAGGAGGTTTTTCCAATCTACAAAGTAACCAAATTTAAAAAGGAAAAAATACAAGAGCCTTCACTGTGAAGCAATATGAAAACAGATGTTGAAACTCCACTGGGGGAGGGGGAAGAGAAACACACACATAACAAGTGTGGGGTCGTAGATGGTTTAGTATGGTTCTTCTCAGAAGAGTAGAATACAAGATTGGAATTGTGGGATTCCATTTTGGTATGGACTATTTCCATTTCAATATTTGCGCAGTTTACAAAAACAAAGACTGCCAGCAGTCCAAACTCAGCCTACAGCCTGAAAGTCAGATTGATGGCTAGATAAGAGGAACCTGAGTAATAAGAATTCTGCAGTTAAGTGCTGCTTTCATCTTACACCTGTGCAATCATGTTATGCCGTTAATTACCATATACCTGAGCAATCTAGCAAAGGATTATATAATTGAGGGCATGGTTTGAAGACAAAGCATTGCACAGATGGCACTGCAATTGCAAGTCAGCCAATAGTTTTGTTGATATAACAAGAGAATTCAGTTCAGTCTCCCAGAGCTGTTCTAGTTTTGCAGAGTTGACAGCAGCGGGAAAAGTCTTGTTACTGATTGACCAGAGATGTCTCCGAATAGATTCTGGGAGCATATCTGCAAAGTACCATTTTCATATAGCCCATCTTTAATTTAAAGAAGAAAAGCTACAATTTAGGTACTAGTTATTCTATTTGTTTTCACCTGTACCCTGAAGATGATAACGTCCATACTAGGTCAGACCTACGGTCCATCTAGCCCAATATCTGGTCTCTGACAGTGGCTAGTGCCAAATACTTCTGGCAGTTGGAGGTGTAGGGGACATCTTGAGTATGGGATTGCATCCCACCAAATTCTCTGCAGTGAAAACCGATGAAAAGAATTAATTTAGCTTCTCTGCAACAGTCTTCCTTAGGTGCTCCTTTAGCACCTTGATCATCCTTTGGCACATCCTTCTTCTGATATACTTAATTTTTCTTACTCTTAGTTTTCGTATCTTTTGCAAGTTGATCTTCCAGTTTTCTTCTTGGCCCATCTAATTATACCAGTGTTTCTCAAACTGGGGTCGCCGCTTGTGTAGGGAAAAGCCCGTCGGGCCGGGCCAGTTTGTTTACCTGCCCCATCCACACGTCCGGCTGATTGCGGCTCCCACTGACTGCGGTTTGCTGCTCCGGGCCAATGGGAGCTGCTGGAAGCGGCACGGGCCGAGGGACGTACTGGCTGCTGCTTCCAGCAGCTCCCATTGGCCTGCAGTGGCGAACCACGGCCAGTGGGAGCCATGATCGTCCGGACCTGCGGATGGGGCAGGTAAACGAACCGGCCCGGCCTACCAGGGGCTTTCCTTACACAGGCGGCGATCCCAGTTTGAGAAACAGTGAATTATATACTTTTACACTTGATTTGCCAGAGTTTATGCTCCTTTCTATTTTCCTCACTAGGATCTGACTTCCAATTTTTAGAAGATGACTTTTTGCCTGTAATTTCCGTTTACACTGCTGTTTAGCTTATGTTTGTTCCTTTACTGTTTGTTTTTGATTTGGGGTATACATTTAGTTTGAGCCTATATTATGGGGTTTTTAAAATTAGACTCCGTACAGTTTTCAGACATTTCACCCTTGTGACTGTTCCTCGTAATTTCTGTTTAACTAGATTCCTCATTTTTGTGTAACTCCTCCTTTTGAAGTTAAATGCTACTGGGGTAGGTTTCTTTGGTATTTGCCCCCCACAAGGACGTTAAGTTCAATTACATTATGCTCACTATTACCAAACGGTCCAGCTATATTTCCCTCCTGGACCAGAGGCTGTGCTCCCACTTAGGACTAAATAAAACAGACGTGGGCAAACTATGGCCTGCCGGACCATCCTGCCTGGCCCCTGAGCTCCCGGCCGGGGAGCTTAGTTCCCGGCCGCTGTCCCCCTTCCCCCGCAGCCACGCCACCGCGCGGGCCGCACTCTGACCCGCCACTCCCACTAGGCAGCGTGGGGAGCGCAGCTAGCCCTGGCCGGGCGTCGTGGCTGCAAACTCCTGCTGCTGGTAAGTGGGGAGGGGTTAGGTAAGGGAGCGGGGGGTTCTGGGGGGGCAGTCAGGGGATGGGGAAAAGGGAGAATTGGGAGTGGGAGTCCCGGGGGGCCTCTCAGAGGGCAGGATGTGGATAGGGGTTGGGAGGGCAGTCAGGGGACAGGGAGGATTGGATAAGGGGGTGGAATCCTGGAGGGCAGTTAGGGGACAGGGGGATTTGGATAGGGGGTGGTCAGGGGACAAGGAGCGGGGGGGTTGGATGGGTTGGGGGGCTCTGAGGGGGAGCAGTCAGTCAGGGGGCAGGGGCCAGGCTGTTTGGGGAGGCACAGCCTTCCCTACCTGGCCCTCCATACAATTGGGCAACCCCGATGTGGCCCTCGGGCCAAAAAGTTTGCCCACCCCTGAAATAAAAGATTGCTTCTTGGAGCAGTTTGTCCTGGCACCCATAAGGGAAGAGGCAATCATTCATGGGTTCTAGAAGTTTTATTTGCATTTCTTCCTGAGGTGATATGTACCCAGTCAATAATAATAATAATAATAATAATAGTGGGGGATTTCAGCCTCTCTAATCTCTGAGCCCACCAGGGAAGGGGTCTACTTTTCAGAAAGTGACTTTTCCCCATTAATCCTGTTCTCCATACAGGAGCTTACCCAGCCAGCACCTCAATTGCTTACCTGCTGAAGCCCAAAGACATAGCAATATCCAATGCCTTCTTGCTTCGCACTCCTGCCATGCAGGAAAAGACTAGATGGTCGGATTTAGCAGGCATATCTTGATTGTACCGTTCTTTAAAGTCTTTTGGGTTCATCTGTAGAGCTTCCACAACCTCACCCACTGCAAGAATAGATGCAAAGCCTCTTTTATGTGTAATTAATGAAGGAGTTTTGTTGGTGAAGATTTACACTAGTTAGTTTCCCAGAAGAGTTTGCCATATGTATTGCAGCTTGTTTTTGTCAAGTCACCAGGGTTCACTTGCAAGTTTATCCTTAAAGGTTTCTGATCTTGTTGCTATGCAGTGATACATATAACTTACATGGTATGTTGACGGATCCAGGAATTTTTCCAAACTGTCCAATTTCCCACTTCTCTCGAACATCAATAAGAGTTGTTTGGGATTTTAGCAAGCCTTTGAGTTCTTTATAGGAAACACTACAATCAGCAGCAGTGTCAAGATTACGAAAGATCACATTTACAGTTCTCAGACCTGGGAAAAGAAAAAGGACTGTTATCCCACAAGAAGCAGGAGGGGGGAAAAAAAAAAAAAAAAAAAAAATAAAAAAAAAAAAAAAAA